TATATATATATTTTTTTTTTTTTGCTTAAAACAAATATAAATTGCTTAAACAAATATAATTTAATTAAAAATTCCAAGTAGAAAATTACACTAAACTGTAACCAAAACAGTGATAAACAATATAACAACAAGATATTTATTTCCAACAGAATCTTTAATAAGACAAATGTTTCAATTAACAATAGAGGTCAACCTTCATATCTGTGATAGTCCAAATGAATGCAGTTGACAAGTTCATTTCAGAATTTCAGCTTTATTAATTATTATAAATTTTCTTTACATGTAATTAAATTCATTTATATACTTATGAATACAAGATTTTTCATACTATTAGTCAAAAAATATTTTTTAAAAATTTTTGCTGAAAGCAAAAGACATTGTGGCCAACCTGGAAACACCTTACTGTACCCCTAGATTTAGTCTTTTGTCTCCCTCTAGAGTCAATCTGACCACGTGTTGTGGTACTGGTGACAGTCTTTGTACTTGAGCTCATAATAAATTTATTTTACCTTTTAAAATCTGTGTTTATTTGGTCAAGAACCCAAAGGACGTGATCACAAGAACTTATTTATCCAGTTCTGTGAGTATTTTTATTAGTCATATATTTCCATCATGATCAAGAGTGAAGACCCCATCAAGGTAGCACGAGTATCAGTGAAAATTCCACCCTTTTAGAGAAAGAATGTTAAAGTATGACAAGTGGAATCACAATTTGCTGTCTCTAATATCACAACAGAGGTTACAAAATACCATCATGTACTAGGATCGCTTGACTGTGAAATAGCTGAATGGCCGCCGATCTAATATCCCAACTATTGATGAGCATGCCCTATATGGACTTAAAAACATGATTAATCAATGAATTCAAAGAATCAGAAAGTAGAAAAGCAAAAAAATTACTCATAGAAATCAAACTAGGAGACAAAAAGCCCTTGGCACTACTAAGAGAAATGCGAACACTGGCCAGTACGCAAGTAACGGACGAATTCCTTAGAACGCTCTTTCTACAGAGGTTGCCTAACAACCTTCGTTCAGTTTTAGTGACCAATCAAGAGAATCTCTGTAACTTGGCCACTATGCCTGACAAGATTACGGAGATACCAGTCCCAATTCAGACATTTGAACAAATGTCTGAATTGGGAATGGTATCTCCGTGATCTGTCTGATGTGCGGTTGCACCACTGGTGCAACTGCACACCAGACAGATCAACTCTCGTTTGGAGAAAGCTGTGTCAGAACTTGCCATTTTGATCCACAAGTTACAAGCACATTCTCCCTCATGCTCAGAGAGACGATGGCATTCTCCCAGTCCAAATCTACAGGGTAATGATGTTTGTTGGTATCACTTCAAATTGAAAGCTAATGCCAAGAAGTGTGTCCCACCTTGTTCTTTTAAATATCTCATCAAGAAAGCCTTGGGAAGCGACTAAGCCCAACTCTCTCTGTGACTCAGATGGGACAAGAGAAAACATCCAATCACTTATTTATTTTTGATACTATCACTGGGTGAAGATTCCTAGTACACCATCTCTGTCTTACCTTCCACTGCTCTAGAAAAATGAACATATCAGTAATTGTCAACTTTATGCAGCTAATGGCTCCATGATACCTACATATGAGGAATGCCTCCTTAAACTCAATATTGGACTCTGACAAACATTTTGCTGGCCATTTACCTTAGCAGATGTACAGAACCCGATTATAGGAGCAGATTTTCTAAGTGACTTCGGCATTCTTGTGGGTTTAAAGAATAAGTGCTTAAGAGATAATCTCACTCACCTATCAACCTCAGGAACTACCACCACCAGTAATCAGCAAACTGTGCTAATGGTATTACCTCAACAGAAGTATTCCAAGCTTCTCTTGGAGTTTCCCATTCTCCTGAAAGAACAACCTACATATCAACAAGTTAGTGACCATAACGTCTACCATACAATCATCACAACAGGAGCTCCGGTCACTACTAAGCTGAGACGATTTCCTCCTAATAAGCCACAGACAAATCTTGCACAGGCAAAGCTGGAATTCCAACAGATGATAGACATGAAGACATGGGAATATTCAGGCCCTCCAAAAGTTGCTGGTCCAGCCCTCTACATCTTTTTCCCAAGAAGGATAGTTCATGGTGTCCTTGTGGGGACTACTGGGCCTTGAACACTATTATTATACCAAACAGGTACCTGATATCCCACCTTCAAGATTTCAATTGCAAACTAAGAGGAAAATCCATCTTTTCTAAAATAGACCTAGTACAGGCATTCCACCACATACCCGTGGCACCAGAGGATATTCCAAATATGGCTGTGATTACACCCCTTGGCTTATTTGAATTTTTAAAATTGCAATTTGGACTATGCAATGCTGCCCAGTCCTTTCAAAGATACATTCACAATATTTTACATGAATTAGACTTTGTCTACTCATACCTTGATGACCTTCTCATCGCATTTTAGTCAGAGGAAGAGTACTTGTTCCATTTAAGAACACTGTTCACAAGACTGCACAGGCATGCCATCAACATCAACCTTTCAAAGTGTGTTTTTGGTGTGCCAGAAGTTTCCTTCCTGGGATATAACGTCTCCCAAGCAGGAATTGTTTCCTTGCCTGAACAAGTTCAAACCATCCGGAACTTTCCATGTCTGGATATCATAGAGCAGCTCCGAAAATTTCTATGGATGGTCAACTTTTACAGACGTTCACTTCCCATCACAGCATGCATGCAACAAGCTCTCTTTGATTTGTGCAAAGACACAAGGAAAAAAGACAAACAAAAAGTGCAATGGACCCCAGATTCAATCCCAGCCTTTTAACGACTCAAAGAAGAACTAGCAGGTGCTGCCCTCTTGGCCCATCCCTCCACTGACCTTCCAATAATGTTGATGGTGGATGAATCAGACTTTGCAATAGGAGCAGTTCTTTGACAAAAGAATAATTCCATCTTCGAACCTCTCGGCTTCTTTTTTAAGGCACTAACTAAACCACAGGCAAACTATCGCACATATAACTGTGAACTCTTAGTGGCATATTCAGCAGTGAGATATTTCTGCCACATTTTAGAAGGCAGGAATTTCACAATATATACCGATCATAAGCCCTAACCTACACATTCCAGCAGCGTTTGGATAACGTATCCCCTCACCAACTGTCATTTAGATTACATAGGCCAATTTACCATAGATATCAGGTACATACCAGGGAAAGACAATGTAGCAGCAGATGTCTGCTCAAGAATTGGCTCTATTTTTCTACCATCAGAAATACCCCTGGAAGATATTGCTGCTGTATAAGCTGTGGACAAAGAGCTTGCTCAACCTCAATAGTGGCAAATATGTTTGCTGAAATTTCAAAAGGTTTGCCTCAAAAATGGAATTGAAGTGACATGCGACATCTCAACTGGTAAATACAGGCCTTATGTACCTGAACAGTACTGCCAGCTATTTTTTGACTCCCTACATTCCCTACATGGTTTAACACACCCGGAAATAAGGGGTTCAGTGGATCTGGTCAGCAAATGCTTTATTTGGCCATCAGTAAGGAAAAATTTCAGATTGTGGGCTAAAACCTGCATCCCTTGTCAGAGAGTCAAAGTGGGAAGACACACTAACAGTGCAATGGGGACCTACAGCCAAGTCGATCACTGTTTTTCACATAAATGTGGATATAGTAGGCCCTTTGCCATCTTGCCAAGGTTTTATTTATTTAGTCACAATCATAGATTGATTTTCATGTTGGCCAGAAGCCATACCAGTAGTGGACATCTCAGCTGAGACTATAGCCAATGCAATCCTTTTTATATGGATTGCACGCTTTGGCACACCACAAAATTATAACCATTGAAGGGGGTCGCCGGTTTGAATGCCAACTTTTTGCTGATGGGCATCATCAGGTTAAAGAATATCTTTAACCTGATGATGGCCCATGAAATGGGTTGAAAACGTTTGTTTAGATGAATAAATGTGCTTTCTCAGTAGTAAGGTGTATTGACTTTATAATGTTAAAGAATCTGAGTGTGAATAGCAGAGTAAATTAATCATTTTGGCATTTAGATTTAATGTTATCGGGTAGTGTTGTTTGTTTATATTTATTTATAACTTATAACAAGCACAAAATAAAAAAGAAAATAATATTAATCACATGTATTCACAATTTATAATTACAAAGATCAGCACATGTACACACCTATTCGTTCGAGAATCATCGCACATCTGAGGGTCTGTCACTGCATACCCTTCTTTTTAAGTGATCGTCTTTGCTCTCCCCTTCCTTTTTCCTC